TCAAACATTTTTTTGTTTTTCTTCTATCAAAACTGAGCTCCTGCTCAAATAATTTGCTGGTGAAACTTACCAAATATTTAAGGTAGAAATGATACCAATTGTCTAAAACCATTTTCAGAAAATAGAAGCAGAGGGAATACTTCCCAATTCATTCTATGAGGTCAGTATTTCTCTAATACCAAAACCAGAAACAGACATTACAAAAAAAGAAAACTATAGATTGATATTTCTCACAAACATGGATACAAAGACTCTCAACAAAATATTAGCAAATTGAACAATGTATAAAAGAACTATGCACCACAACCAGTGGGATTTATCAAAGGTATGCAAGGTTGGTTTGACATTCAAAAATTAATCACGTAATCCATCACATCAACAGCAAATAATAAAAAAATACAACACGAGGGGCGCCTGGATGGCTCAGTTGGTTGAGCATCCAACTTTGGTGTAGTGCATGATCTCATGGTCCATGGGTTTGAGCCCTGAATTGGGCTCTGTGATGACAGCTCAGAGCCTGGAGCCTGCTTCAAATTTTGTGTGTCCCTCTTTCTCTCTCTCTCTCTCTACCCCTCTTCTGCTCATCCTATGTTTCTCTCAGTCTCTCAGAAATAAATAAATGTTAAATTTTTTTAAGAAAAGAAAAAGAAAAAGAAAAATTACATAACTATTTATTAAATAACTATATTAATAAATGTACAAAAAGAAAAAGAAAAATTACATAACTATTTATTAAATAACTATATTAATAAATGTACAAAAAGAACTTGACAAAATCCAACACCCATTCATGATAAAAAAAAAAAAACACTCAGCAAATAAGAGCAAAAGGAAAATTTCTCAGAAATTTGTAAAGATGGTGAAGAACATCTATAAAGGACATCATACTTAATGGTGAGAAACTAGAAGCTTTCCTGCTAATATCAGGAACAAGTAAAGGATATGCCCTCTCTCCACTCATTTTCAACAGCATAATGGAAGTTCTAGCTAATACAATACGATAAGAAAAGAGACTAAACCTATACAGATTGGGAAGAAAGAAATAAAACTGTCTTTGTACATAGATAACATGATTGTTTACATAGAAAATGCAACAACAAATAACTTCTGGAACTAATAAGCTATTATCATAAAATTTCAGAGTACAAAACCAGTCATTTTCTTAAGTACCAGCAATGAACAAGTGTAATTTGAAATTAAAAACACAATGCTATTTATATTAGCACCCAAAACAAAATTAAATAATTAAGTATAATTTAACAAAGTAGAAAACAAGATCTATCTATATGATACAACCCTCTAATGAAAGAAATCAAAGAACTAAATAAATGGAGAGAAAGTCCATATTCATGGGCAAGAAGACTCAATAATGTCAAGATGTCAATGATGCCTAACTTGATCTATAGATTCCACATAATCCAAATTAAAATCCCAGCACGTTGTTTTGTGGATATTGACAAACTGATTCTAAAGTTTATAAGGGCAAGCAAGAGACCCAGAATAGCCCAAACAATATTGAAATAGAAGAACAAAGTTGGAGGATTGAAAACTTGCTACTTGACTTGAAAACTTACAATAAAGTCATAGTGATCAAGACAGTGTAATATTGGCAAAGTAAGAGACAAATAGACCAATGGAACAGAATAGAAAGCTTGAAAATAGACTTCACACAAATATAGTTTGACAAAGGAGCAAAGGCAATACAATGGTGAAAAGGTAGCCATTTTAATAAAAGGTGCAAGAATAACTGGACATCCACATGCAAAATAATAAATAAATAAATAAATAAATAAATAAATAAATAAATAAAGTAGATACAGACCTAACATCCTTCACAAAAATTAACCCAAGTGAATCAGAGACTTGAATATGTAATTCCAAACTGCCAGTCTCCTCGAAGATTAAGATAGGACACCATTGGATGACTGCGGGTTTAGTGCTGACATTTTAGATACAACACCAGAAGTGTGATCAGTGAAATAAATAATTAATAGGTTCATTAAAACATCTGCTCTGTGAAAGACATTGTCAAGAGAATAAGACCAACCACAGACTGAAAGAAAATATTTGCCAAAGGACTCATACCCAAAATTTACAAAGGGCTCTTAGAACTCAACAATAAGAAAATGAACAACCCCCCAAATTGGCAGAAGACCTGAAAAGACATCTCATCAAAGGTCCAATAAACAAGAGGTCCAATAAACATGAAGAGATGCTCAATGTCAAATGTCATTAGGGAATTGCAAATTAAAATGTGATGCCACAATACAACTATTAGGATGACTAACATCCAAAATGCTGTCAACACCAAGTGCTAAAGAGGATGTGGAACAACAGAACTCTCATTCATGACTAGTGAGAATACAAAATAATACAGCTGCTTTGAAAAACGTTTTGGCAGTTTCTTAGAAAACTAAACATAGTCTTACCATATAATCCAAAAATCGCACTCTTTGGTATTTATCCCAAAGAGTTGAAAATGTATGTCCACAAACAAACAAACAAAAACGTGCACAAGAATATAGTAAGTTTATTCGTAATTGCCAAAGCCTGGAAGCAACCAAGATGTCCTTATTCCATGGCTGAGTGGATAAATCATGGTACACCCAGATAATGGAATATTATTCAGTGCTAAAAAGAAATGAGCTATCACGCCATGAAAAACATGGAGGAAACTCAAATGCATATTACTAAGTGAAAGAAGCCAATGTGAAAAGGCTACATACTATATGATTCCAATACATGATGTTCTGGGAAAGGCAAAGCCTTATAGAAACAGTAAGATCAGTGATTGCCAAGGTTGGATTGATAGAGGAGAGAGAAGACAGGGGAGCACAGAGCATTGTTAGCACAGTGAAACTACTCTATATGATAGTATAATGGTGGATACATGTCACCATACATTTGTTCTAACCTATAGAAAATACAACACAAAGAGTGAACTCTAATGTGAACTCTGGACTTTGGGTGGTCACGATGAGTCAATATAGCTTCATCAGTTGTAATAAATGTACGGCGATAGGGGCGGGAGGTATACGAGAAATCTCTGTACATTCTTCTCAATTTTGCTATTAACCTAAAACTGCCCTGAAAGTTAAAGTCTACTTTTTTTTCAAACTGAGCTTTTGGTAGAAACACAATGTCTATTTTTGTGTCCAGGAATTTGTCGTCAAAACCCATGTTGAATAACCTGTATCTCTGGCTGTGATCTCTTTGAAATGGAAAAGACCAATATACTACTGTGCTCTGGCACAAAATATTTGTCACCAAATCCTTTTTCAAATCACTTATTTTGGATTATAGCTTAACTATACTTAAGAATTAGAATATGTAGTAATATCTCAACACCCTAAAAATACAGTAGGAAAAATGTTAAGGAAATGATTTGTGTATGATGGAATTACAGAATACTTTCCATATCTTCTTTATGGTGCTCAGTATTTTTCAACTTTCCTGTGATGACTCTCAATTATTATGACCCACAATAAACAGATATCAATTCAAAGAGAAATATTTATGGATTGTATATATGCATATATACACATTCACATACACATCATGTTATTACCATTATGGGTGGGTACAGGTATAAAAAGTATAGTAAATGGGTTAGAACAACATATACTGGAGCACCTGGGTAGCTCAGTCAGTTAAACATCCACCTTCAGCTCAGGTCATGATCTCACGGTTCATGAGTTCGAGCCCATGATGGGCTCTGTGCTAACAGCTCAGAGCCTAGAACCTGCTTTGGATTCTGTGTTTCCCTCTCTATCTGCCCTTCCTCCACTTGTTCTCTCTCTCTCTCTCCAAAAATAAATAAACATTTAAAAAAATAACAATGTATACCAAATAGCAGCAAGGATATAACTATGGCTAGCTTCGTGTCCTAAGATTAGGAAAATTAATTGCAACCTACTTTGCTATGTTTCCCAGATGTTTTATAATGAATCTATATTTTTATGTGGAAAAATACACCTGGACTTATTAAATAAAAATTCAAAACTGTATATTTAGAGACACATTTCTTAAATAATCCGAGCATGAAGAAATTGTTATTACTGTTGCAGTGAGTATTTTTGAAAGATTAGTAGAAGCAAGATAATGTGACATTTAGCTGATCTTTCAAAAGAAGCTGGACAAATAACACTTTCTTTTCTAAAGAAAATAGTAGCTAGCGATGAAACATGGTGTTTCTAGTGTGATTCAGAAATGAGGTGTCAAATTTTTCTGTGGAAAAAAACCGAGAAGGCACATATTCAGAAACAGAAATGGAAAATATCTTGGTTCATTTATTTAACACTGTTTCAGAATCCATCTCACAAAAGCCTACTTTGAAAAAATTCTGACTCATGTAAACTATCCTTTACAGTAAACTGGCCAAATGAAAGTGATCTAATATTCACTGAAACCCTACCATGCTCAGAGCATGTTACATATGTCATCTCTAATCTTTACAACAGTGGAAAGGAACTATTTCTAGCCCCACTTTACAGATAAGAAAACTGAGTCTCAGAGAGGTAGAGTAGCTTCTCTGACAGCATATATAGTTAATACATGGCAGAGAGGGGATCTGAATTGTCCTTCCCACTCTAAAGTCCATGATCTTTATATTCCTCTGCCTCAATTCAGTGCTGGGGGGGGGGGGGTGGTCTTTGCCATGACAACTCATCATGGTGGACTTTTTCATGAAGTTTTTTACTCAAATATTATCACCCAGCAAGATACCTCAGCTAATTTGCAAAATGTGACTCCACAAAAAAAATATCATCTTCAAAAACAAACATCCAACCACAAGGATAGAGACTTGAACCAGACTTGACCGGGAGGGCTTTACAGAAGGAGGTAACCCAGGCAGGTAGGGACACTTCCAGAAACATCTGGAACCAGAGTGTGGGTCATTTGTTAGGAACTGTACTCATTTGGAGGCAAAATTTCTTATGTGCCTGTTAAACAAGACTGTTATTTTAAACCCTGTTGCACAGGTAAGAAGGGTGACTTACATATTTGCTTTTTGTTCCTTTTGCTTGCTTGCTTCAGGGATAGGCTTCCTCCCAAACTTTAGCTGTAATTATAACTTAGGTACCTGGACTCCATATTTAAGGGTGACACTACACATAAGCAGGTTTGTACAGATTAGTCAAAATCATACCCTGAAAAGTTAAGCCCTAGAGGCCAGCTTTGGACCTGGCTTATTACTACAGCCCTGTTGTGCAAGGCACACTAATTAGTATAAGCTAACTAATTGTGTATTCAAGAATCCTAGAGCAAGAAGTTAAATGAGAAGTAATCCATTAAGTTTTGGACCCAGAACAATCCTAAGGAGCTTTGCCAATGGGTTTAAGAGGAAACGCTTCACTTTCCTCTGCTTCAAGTTCCTATTTCTCAATCAGAACAATGGAAAGCTAAGAAAAAGAAAAGAGATCCAGGGGAGGAGAGGAGAGAGGAGGGGAGGGAAGAGAGGGAGAAGCAGTTGGAGAGCCCTTCTGTCGGCCTCCATGATGCCCTGATTTGGACAGAGACCAGGGTTAAGCCAACCGGGGCCCACGGGCCAAATCCAACCTGTGGCCTGTTTTTATACAGCCCATGAGCTAAGCATGCTGTTTTACCCTTTTAAAGGGTTGGGAAAATTCCAAAGAATGATGGTTTATTTTGACATGTAAAAATTAAATGAAATTCACTTTTCAGTGTCCATAAATAACATTATATTGGAAGTCAGCCACAGTCTCTCATTTAAGCATTTCTATGGCTGCTTTCACGCTACAATGGCAGAATTGACTGGTTGCGACAGAGACCATATGGGCCACCAAGCCTTAAATATTAACTCTCTGGCCTTTACAGGAAAATAGTTGCTGACCGCTGGCAGAGACAATCCGTTGGGAAGGATTGGCTGAGAAAACTAAAATGTGAGTCTTGGATAAGCGGGGGCTGGGTGCATTAAGGGGCAATCTTCCCAACTAGTTAAGCTAACAAAATTCACCATGAAAGCGTAGGCTACGTGGCTGGGCAGCCCCAATATTACCACCCATCCAAACGTACCCACACCTGGGTCCCTTAAGTGGCCAACATTTCAGGGTCACCCATAGAGAAGGAGGAAGTATTCTGATGGCCTGTCCCCCATCTTCCCTTCATCCTACTTCCTCACATTCTATTTTCTGAGTGGTTGTCAGAGGAACGCCGAATCTCGCTGTCGCTGTTCAGACCCCAGGAGAAGCTCTGACAGTCTTGGCACCGTGAAGCGTTCCAAGTTCCTATCTCATCTCTGCAGCTGCCTGCTCCCCATTCAGTCAGGATGCGCTTCCCTCAATAATGTATTTGTTCTTTAATCTCGCTCTCCTCTCTCTCCCAATCACTGTCTCTCTCTCCTTTCTCTCCTCTCTCTCTCTCTCTCTCTCTCTCAATCTCTCTCTCTCTCACACACACACACACACACACACTCCCAATGTTTAGAGGGAGAAAAACCTTTCAACTTCTTGCCAAGTCTTATAGAAAATGCCTTTCATAAACAGAGCTGCCTTTGTCATTTGTAAAAGTGTAGCTGTCCTTCCTTCTGGAAAGTGATAGTATTGTTTTTCTGGATGGACTACTCTGGCCCATTGTGTGTGTGTGTGTGTGTGTGTGTGTGTGTGTGTGTGTGAAGTAGGAAGGGAATGGAGGAGAAGGTTCTAGGGAAAGAAAACCACAGAATAAGCAAACCAAGACATAATGACAACACTGTACAGCTAAGAGATGGCGTTCCCAAGTCAATCACCTTCAGCCAGGAAAGCTAGAGTGTGAGAAGAGTGGGTGGGCCTCTCTGACAGCTTATTCTTCGTCTAAGACAATTCCGTGATCAAAAATACCTCTTCTTAAAAAAAAGTGCCTAGAACAAAAAAAGTATAAAGAGAGAATATAGCAAAATGTTAACAATGGTTGGATTTGGGTGGGAGGGAGAGGGGGCAGGTTATGGGTGATCTGTTCCTTCTATTTCAGCTATTCTGCGCCTTCATGTTCTCTTTTTGATGTTAAACTGCAGAGGAAAGACGTCAATGGAAAGGACGTCAGTAAACTCACTGACAGAGAAAATCACAACGAAGCCTGATGTAGCCAAAGATGCATGGGTTACCTTCTATTTCCAGGTATTGGAGGATGAATCAGAAAACATCACTTGTAAAAACTTTTTTTAAAAATGCGCTTTGTAATATTCCTCCGTTTGGCCTAAGAGCTGTAAACTGAATACAGTTCAATCTTCCCCATTGTCCTAAGACTGATTCAGGGTCATTTTCTGAACATTGATACTTTTTAAACAGGAAACAGGACTAAACTCATATTGACTCCAAAAAACACAGACCAATGGGTTTGTTTATTACAATATCATGCCCTCCTCATTCTCTCTCTCTCTCTCTCTCCCTCTCTCTCTCTCCTCATCAAAGCAGAATGAATATATAGAATTCTAAGTAATTGAAACATTGAATGGTTAAGATTTTACTCTAACAGAAAAATATAGATCAGCTGAGAGGGATGACTGAATAAATACAGACATCTTCGCTCCTTCATTATATCACATTAAAGTAAACATGAGAGGATCTTTTTAAAAAATAAACCAGAAGGATAAGAAGGAGAGAAAATATGATACCCACAGTATTTAGGAAGCTGGAAAGCAGAAGGTAGAAGTGGTACTTGGCATAGACCCAGAATCCTCCAAATGCTCAAGAATTGGCAGCAAAGTTTACCTCTGGACGCAAAGGTTGAAGGACAAAGACAGGGCTGAATTCTATTTAAGTAGCAGGAGGAGCCCAGATCTTCTACCTACTCCCTAAGGTGAAAGTATTCTGGAGGTTTCTCCTCTCAGGGCAGTGTCTCTGGGCAGAAGCTCTCCATACACTGATGCTAAAAACGCTAGAAATAAGTGATCATTTACATAGTGAATATGAGATCTTCCATGTTTCCTTGCATTTGGTTGTAAAAAGGCTACCAGACACGCAGGCAGGAGATAAGAAGACTCTTCTCTGGAGAGATTCTCACCTTCCCAAGTGAACAATGTCTAAAGACGCTGGTATTGGGGTGGGGAGGGGAGCAGTTGTGACAAAACAGATAGCCAGATCACCTTGCAAGAAAGCTGACAAACACAGAGCTTCTAATGGCTTTTAGAGGCTCCATTTATTAACAGAAATAGACATCTGCGGAAAGGTCCTGACATGAAAGGAAGAGACCAGAGCAAACAGACAAATAAAAGCAACTGTGTGAAGAGATAAAACCTTCAAAAACCTATCCTCGGGTGCCTGGGTGGCTCAGTCGGTTAAGCGTATGACTTCGGCTCAGGTCATGATCTCACGGTTTGTGAATTTGAGCCTTGCATCAGGCTCTGTGCTGACAGCTCAGAACCTGGAGCTTGCTTAGGATTCTGTTTCCTTCTCTCTCTGCCCCTCTGCCACCTGCACTCTGTCTCTCTCAAAAATAAATAAAACATTTTTGTCCTCAAGGAGATAAAAACAGACTATTATTTTCATGAAACAAGAACTCAGTCCAGAAAAAAAGACAGTTCTTTAAAATTAAAAATATGAGAGCAGAACCTTTTAAAGTTCTCATTAGAAGGGTAAGAAGACAAAATTGAGGATAATGAGTGTAGCTCTATTTCCCCCAGAAATAAAGCGAAAAGAAAAAGAGTTGGAAAAATTCTTAGGAAGCAGGAAGATTAGAAGAGGCTCAATACCAAAATAATCAGAATTCAGAGAGACAAAAAGACAGAGACAGAGACAGAAAAACAGAGAGAAAAAGAATAGACACAAGAAGGAGGAGGGGGAGAAAGTTCCCATAGTTGAAAGGCAAAACTTCCCAATTGAAGCAGATGAAAATAAACACACACCAAGGCATGCCGTCTCAAAAATTTGTGAGATAGAAGAAAGAGAATATTCTAACAGTTTCCAAGAAGAAAAACAAATTGATTTACAAATGATCAAGAATCAGTGTGATTTCAGCCTTCTCAAAAGCAACACCAGAAACAAGCAAAGAATGGAGTAATATGTTCCAGATATGAAAGGAAAAAATATTTCCAACAAAAAAAGGCTATACCTTACCAATCACAATGTATCCCTTATAAGAAAGTTATTAGAAGATGGGTGGCATCAAAATGAGAGAGTATTAAAAAAGAAAAAAAAAACTAAGAAAGGTATGAGATCTAAGATATAGGGGTTCAACCCAATTTTTCAAAAAAAGGTAAAGCAGGGTGCCTGAGTGGCTCAGTCGGTTGAGCGTCCGACTTCAGCTCAGGTCATGATCTCATGGTTCACGGGTTTGAACCCTGCATGGGGCTCTGTGCTGACAGCTCAGATCCTGGAGCCTGCTTCCGATTCTGTGTGTGTTTCTCTCTCTGCCCTTCCTTGCTCATGCTCTGTCCCTCTCTCAAAAATAAATAAACATTAAAAATATTTTTTAGGGGCACCTGGGTGGCTTAGTCGGTTGAGCGTCCGACTTTCACTTAGGTCATGATCTCACGGTTCGTGGGTTCGAGCCCCATGTCGGGCTCTTTGCTGACTGCCAGCTCAGAGCCTGGAGCCTCTTTCAGTCTGTGACTCCCTCTCTCTCTGACCCTCCCCTGCTCACACTGTCTCTCTCCTAGAAATAAATAAAACATTAAAAAAAATTAAAAAAAAAATTTTTTTAAAAAGGTAAAGCAATTTTTATGTTGATAGCAAAGTGAGACCCGGGGTTGATAATAGCATTGGCGGGCCAAGAGCAATCACTCTATGTTAGAGCAAGAAACAAGTTCTAGAAGAGAAAACTCCAAGCAGATAAAATTCACAGAATGTTTGGTGCGCTTTAGGTAACTACAGGAGAAACAAGCAACCGGGAAAGCTTAAGGATGATTTAGCTACACAGAAAACCAAAACAACTCAGAAAGCAATCATTAACTTCAGAGAAAGCAAGGATCAAGCCAGAAAGGAAAATGCATCATAGCAAATAGATGCTGTAAATAGCATTTATTTTAAGTCATAAAAATGTAAACGCTTAATATTGATATCACCAAAATGATACATCTATTTGGGGAGGATGGGGTGAAGAGGAGGAAAAGAAATGTGCCTATATAAAGAAAAGTGAAAAGAGAAAGTACAGCAGGCTCAAATC